CGGCTAGGGTTGGGAGTCCGTAATGACTTCAATAGACTATTTTTAAGTATGAATGGATTAAGATAAAATAGTATGAACCAACATATGATATGTGCAGTGTGCATAAAAAATGGACTACATTGCTTGCTTCTTCAAGCTTGTTTGAAGCTCTACAAAGTACTCAGAATCAGAATGTCCTAAGAACCAAAGTGCCACTTGCAGTCACTACAAAGTACTCAGATTTAATATTCATTTGTCAGGGACAAAGCAAAATTAATCTTCAAGGAGGTGTTTGTGTGTGTCATCATATGACATATAAAAACGTTGGACAAGATTGTGACTAGAGCAAGCAAGAAAAATAATCACAAGCTGAAAAGGCACTACCAGAGTATGTGGTATCTGGTCACACTCCACTGCTACTACAAGCTACTTCCTAATGAGTAAATCCTAACCGAAACAATAGAGAAAAGAAAGTAAAGAAATAACATCTTTAACTAGCTAGGCACTTGGCAAGCTGGTAGTACTATATCTGCATCGTCCTATTTACTTAATAAAGGTCTGGAAGTCAAAGACAACTAGCTTGATTTTCTCCAATATAGTTTTTTTAGAAATGGAGGAGGACCTCCAGCCTCTGCATCTAGACGATGCATGCAACCACTTTATTAATTATTCACATAAGACCTTACAAAGTCATACAACAGTAAGACTAAAGCCACCGTCTAGGCAACATCTGTCGCTAATCCTACCCAGTTGATGTAGGGATGTTGATAGTCCGGGCCTAATACCAAACAGACCTCGCAGCCAAGACCCGCCGGCCCGCCATGCCGGGTATGGGGCACCCACCAGTCCGGCGCACTCCTCAACCAGGACGCCTGCCGGGTATGAGGTTGCCGCAGCCACCTGCCACCAATCCATCTTCAGAGTTGTACCGTTGCATCTACCGTGCTAGGTCTCTCAGCCATCGACGCCACCACGACGCCAGACAATGTCATCCTCCTACGCGAGTCCATCCTCGTACATCGGGCGCTGAGCCCCCACTGCGCCACGCCACTCCGTCGTCATCAATGTGTAGTATGAAGCACCGCTGCACCAAGAAAGCCGCCCACTGGTCCCTCGATCCCATGTACGCCTCCAAGAATGATGCCCCCAAGGAGGCAACGACGCCAAAGCGTCGCCGTCATCCGATCTACTGATCAAGGGTTTCCCCGGAGGTAGCAGATAGCTGTCTTGACCTTCTCCTTGGCGATGCCTTCAAGAAGGAAACACCACATAACAGCGATGTCACCGCCGGCCTTGGCCAGGTTTTCACCCAGATCTGAACAGAGGACCTCCATCAAGCAACTTGTACACGAACCGCCGCCATCCCTGCCGGGGACTGGAAGGAGAATCCAGGCCGCCGCCGCCTAACCGGCCATGGCACCACCATGGTGCCTACGCTGGCGTCGTCAGGCCCACCATGCCCGCCTGTAGACGCTCACCAGATCCACCGGCCCGCCGAAGCCCATCTGGGTATGGCGAGATCCGTGATCTGGGCCGCCGCCACAGGGGCTCCTCTGCCGCGGTATTGCGCCTGCGCTGACGCCGCTGTCACACTTGCCGCCGGGAACCCGCCGCTCCACGCCGCCGGTGCCCCGCAGTTCCGTGCGCCGCCGCCGCCAGGGGAAGACGCAGCCACCACGCGAGGGGGAAAGCCCCGACGCCTCCATCACTGGCCAGACTACGCCGTGGCCTCCGACGGCGGCAGGGGATAGAGGACAAGGGAGGAGGCCTTTGGGCCGGCGGCGGCAGATCTCCCCCGTGTCGCCTAGGTTAGGCGACGCGGGGCAGGGGGAGGCGTCAATAGGGAAAAGCTATCACCACCGCTCCATTCTCCCCAGTAGATAGATAATTTGAGCTTCCTCAATGAGCGTGTCAAAGGATGACTATGTCATGTACCTTCCTTGCTCTAGGTGACATACACTTGTGGGCTCAACATTAAACTTAACAGTCAACAAACGGTCAAATGATTTTTCTCCTGACACGTGGACCGTCCATGTCATAAACCTGAACAAAGCTTAAGCATTCGGTCATTATTGTTTTTTGGAACAGCCAACCAAAATAGTGGTAGCATTTTGAAAAATTAATATAAGTGATAGTTTTTTGTAGGCATAGCCCATAATGTGGTAGTTTTATGCTCTATAACTTTTCCATACCTTTCTTGCTTTCTTCTCAATGACCGATAAAGACAACAAGATCAAGATGATATAGTGAGTTGAAAGCCTGCAACAGGGCAGCAGTGCTCGAGTCACTAATTCTATCTAAAATATATGCAGAATAGTTACTAATTCTAATTCAATGTTCACCTCATCACTAATTGCATCAGGCGCGGACCAAGCCAACCCTAACGTGAGTACCCCTGAGCTTGGTCAGCGGACTGGATGTGCTATCTCTTATTGCATTCATTGGATTAGTGTGGTCAGCTCAATTACTTGGATAACATTTTCATTTTCTTTGCACGATTGCATACATACTGTCTAGTCGTTATTCAACATGTTCATTGGACGAGTGCGATTATGAGATTGCGAAGCTAGTTGCCATGTCGAATCATCGGGTCTGAGTACGTGTCAATCTATGTGAGAGGACGCCGTGCACAAGAATGGGCGCGCTAGAGAAATTGATCTGCGAGTTCGCTGACAAATGGGGCGACATATCAATTTTTGTGGAGGGACACATTAGCCTTCAACTCAAGCTATATTTTTGAATATTTGACTATTTCAACAAAATATTATTTTGAATATGTGACATATCAATTTTTGATGTATCACAAAACTAGATCATATACACTACGGCGGTTTTGCCTACGGCGCACATAAAAAGGTGGTTTGAGCCACAAAAGTAGATGGCATGGCGACAAGTCAGGAAAAACCAAACTTGACATCTCATGCAACTAAAACCCGAAAAACTAGGGACATTAAAAAATTTATTTAAATTAGAAAGATCTGTTTAAAAAAATAGAAATGAAGATGTGATTCGAGGGATATATGTGGGAAAAATGCAAATTAAAAACCTGTAACTTGAAAAAAGAAATGCATGCAATATTTGAAACCAAAAAATGTGGGAAATACTAGAGTCTAGAGGTAAGTAAATGAACACTATGGATGATCTATGAATTTACAGAGATGAACAAAGGATGTGGACAAGGTCCACGTACACAGCGGACCAAACGACATGGTTTTCTGATCCCTTGGAACCAAACGACACGTTCGAGTTTTCTTGTTTGAAAGGGTAAGCGCAACCTCCTCTAATATTTTCGCTCCTATCTATATATGGGCCGGCCCTGGTACGGCGCTATATTACCGATGCTTCGAGCCCCTTCCCCAAGCATTATCCAGAATATTCCGACTCCTCGAACCGTGTTCGTCCCTCTACAAATACCCTCTGCTCGCCGTCAACAACAGAACCCCAACATAATCGTGCGCATAGCCAGACAAAGGTCAACAACCACCTAGATCGATCTCTCCCAATCTCTGCCGCGGATCAATGGCGTTCTTTGGCTACGACCCGTACGACTACGGCTATGGCTACCCCGCCTCGCCCTACAGCTACGATCCCTACTACCACCGCCCCGCTGCCGCCGATGCCTTCTTCCACGACGCCGAGCAGCTGATGACAGAGCGCCTGCGCCCCACCCGCCGCAGGGCCCCGGCGCGGCACAACGACGCCTTCTTCCCTGGCTTCGGCGCTGCCGGTCCGGCCGCGCGGACCACGGCGCGTCCCAGGCCCAGCAGCGGGTCCCCGAAGAGCTGCCCGGACTACTTCGAGATTGAGGTCACGGGGGACTCCAACTCTCCGCCGGCTGTGCCGAGCAAGCCGGCGCCTTCAGCGGAGGAGGCCGCGGTGAGTGTGCAGGCGGCGGTGCGCGGGCTGCTCGCTCGTCGCATGGTGCGGGAGGTGCGCATGGTGGAGCGGCTGGCGGAGGCCGTGGCCGCAAGGGTGGCCTCCGAGGCGGAGGCGCTCCGCGCGGACGCCCGTGCGCGGATCGGCCTCGTGGAGGAGCTCATGCGGCTGTTGCTGCGCCTCGACGGCGTGCGTGGCGCCCGGGAGTACCGGAGGCGGGTCACCAGGCGCGTGCTCGCGCTCCAGGATGCTGTTGACGCGCTCGAGGCCGCGCCTGCGGTGGTGACCGCCGATGCGCCGGAAGTTCAGGATGCAGAGGAAGAAGCAGAGAGCGGGATGGAGCCGGATCTGCCGGTTGAGGACAATACTGTGTCGGATTTTCTGGCTGCCGAGACAACCGACACGGCGGCGATGGAGGTTGATGCGGCGAGTCCCGTCGTCGTCGACGAGGCCGGGCACACCGAGACCGAACTGGTGGCGGAAGGCGAGAAGGCCTCGGAGGCGGAGGGTGAGTGGGAGATGGTGGCCACCGGGGACGGCGACGTCTTCACCGGCGAGGAGGACCCTGCACCACCCAAAGCCCAGCAGCAGCAGCAAGAACAGGTACAGGAGGAGGAGAAGACAGTGACCACCGACGGGCTGGACGCGAAGAAACTGATGGAGATGGTGGCGGCGCTGTGCGAACGGAGCGCGCAGCAGTGCGAGCTCATCGAGGCCCTGGCCGAGCGGGTGGACACACTGGAGCGCGTCGTCCGGCAGGTGGAGGAGGCCGACCGGCGCAGGCGGAGGAACAAGAAGACCAACAAGGACGGCAAGAAGAACACAAGTAGCTTCTACAGCGACTAGATACGATAAATAGATAAACAATCTGTCTTCGATTAGATTTTTTTCATGAGTTTTAGTTTGGTTTTGTAATCTTTAATTTGCTTCGATTCCATTAGTTATTGTGTGAACAATTTAGATTGTGTCAGCAAATTTCATTAGTTTCAGTTAAATTGTGTGATTTTGCAATCTTGGATTTGTGGAGCAATCTGTATTTGATTGATTTTTTCTTGCGTTTTAGTTCAGCTTTGCAATCTAAAGTTAAGAATATTTTGTCACTCTTTAGATTACTACCAAAGATAACCATACCAAATAATTGGCTGGCCAAAAGGGATTTGGCGGTTGTTTGGATTGTTATATTGGCTGGCCAACGAACCCAGGGCGTTCCTGCGAGCAAAAGATTCGCCAAGATGCTCGGTTTGATTTTTGAAGGGATGCAATACAGCCGCAAGATAGAACTGATTATGTTAACAAATCACGGGGCACGGGTACTCCTCACTCAAAAACGGGTACTCCTCACTCAAAAATATACGTGGGCCTGGGTGATTAAAAACTACATGCAACTTATCTTTTAAAAAAGGAACCTGCAGTATGGTGTTGTGCAAGATTAAACGCCCCAATGGCTGGTGTGTCATTCTTTTGGCGACTTCCTTTTTCTTATTGACCGCATCTAATTTTTCAGGCTATATACCTTCTCAATTGTATAAATGCCAAAATAGATGCAGTGACTTCGCAAATCTCAAGATGATATGCCGGCTCAGTCTTTCGAAGGTGCTCATAGGGGTAGGGTGTGCGTGTGTGCGTCCATAGGGGTGGTTGTATGCGCGTGTATATGAGCGCTTGCGTCTGTGGTGATGCTAAAAAAAAGTTAAAAAGAAATTAGATGCAACTAAATATTTCCTCATTATGCCAGCTGGTCATAAACCAAACAGAGATCTCTTTTGCCAAAAATTTGGTGGATGTTATTGGCCACAATCCAAACAACAACAACTTGCCATCTGTGATCATCACAACAGCCCCCAAATTTTATCATGCCAGCTAGTTGGGGCACAGTCTGTTCAGATTTTTCATTATGATCATCACAACGCCAACCAAGATTACATGCTAAGTTCATCCCAGAACAGACCAAAACACAAGAGAATTATCAGACCAAAACCATGTTACATCCGACCATCTGCACAGGCCTAAAAACTACCTCTCTATCCTAGTCTATCTGATCTGTAGTCTTATTAATTGTGTATCTAGCAAGAGGAGAAAAAGAATCATCACCTTATAAAGGAATCTCAAAATGAGGGGTGAGGTTTAGCAGCGTTGGCACTGAATATCTGGATGTTACACACAGCAGCTCTTCGGGCTTCAGGTTTCAGGGCTCAGCCCATGTGGAATCTGACGGATTGGTAGTTGTTCGACAGCTTGGGCAGCTTGATCACCACGAGCACTCCGGCTGCCAGCGAGAAGACCGAAGCCAGGGCGAAGGCGGGGACGTTCCCTCCCCCAAGAGCTTGTCCCATGGGCCTGCTCCGAGTGAGACTACTATCTGCAAAGTAGAATGCGGTCGACAGTCATAAAGGTCAAGACATGTTCATCAACGACGCATGGCATAGGAGATCGTTCTAGGTACAAGGGTCGACCTGAGGAGCGACGATGGCGAGATTCAGAACTCCAGTTGCCAAACCTGGACATGGGCAGACATTCCTCAGTCGAGAAAGACCAACTGAAACACACAATAAAGAAGTAAACATCAGCGACACAAACCTTGTCCGCCTCCTGTTCCAGTAGTCAGCTCAGCAGTCACGGAGAACGGAACATTGTAAGTGATCTGTATATGCAAGAGCAGACAATATAAGACATCTTCCAGCTGCATTAAAAGAAAGTGTTGAGGGTCTGGTACTAACCGAGAGTGGTAATCCGAGAAGAGAGAAAAGAATCAGTGCTGAAGTCTTTACTGTTTTATCTGCCCCGACAATATGTTGAAGCTTGCTCGAGTACAGGTCATAGGAAATTCAACTTAGTATTGTTGTAGCCAACATGCAGGCAAACACTATGAAGTTACCGATTGCCCAAACCAATCTTGCACCAATCATCCGAGCATAATGGATCGATAAGGAAAGAGCCAATCCCAAGGAGGACCTACATGAATGAAACAAATGTTACCGCCACTAACTAAAAATATCTTGGCACTTACAACCAACTGCAATGCTTTTAAACCACCACAAACCATGTAACTAAGCTTTCAAAGTATTTGTAGTATCTAGTATGACCTATGAAGCTGCAGTGTTTGTTCAAGTATACATTACCAAGAATGGCAGGAACTACCCTAGACATACAAAAAATTTAGTAAACAAAATTGATCACAGGCTCTTACTGAATTCAATAGCAAACCAAATGCCCCTTCTCGAACACCATGGAGCAGTACGAGAAGCATTTATGACATTTAATTGTTCATCAGGAAAGCTATCATCAATAGGTAGTGGGTCATCAAGAACATTTTCTAACCTAGACAAGTTGTCTGCAACGGGGTTCTCATCTCCCTTCCTATCAATAATATGCAAATCAAATTCTTGTAGCAAGAGAACCCATCTAATAAGTCTAGGTTTAGCATCTTTCTTTTCCATAAGATATTTAATAGCAGCATGATCAGTGTGAATAGTTACTTTAGAATCAACAATATAAGGTCTGGACTTATCACAAGCAAATACAACTGCTAAGAATTCTTTTTCAGTAGTAGCATAATTTCTCTGGGCATTGTCTAGAGGTTTACTAGCATATTGAATAACATTTAATTTTTTATCAACTCTTTGCCCTAGAACAGCACCTACAGCATAATCACTAGCATCACACATGATTTCAAAGGGTAAATTCCAATCAGGTGGCTGAACAATAGGTGCAGAAATCAATGCTTTCTTAAGTATTTCAAATGCTTCTACACAACATCATCAAAGACAAATGATATATCTTTTTGTAATAGATTAGTCAGAGGCCGAGAAATTTTTGAGAAGTCCTTAATGAACCTCCTATAAAATCCAGCGTGACCAAGGAAGCTTCTTATACCTTTGATGTCCTTGGGACATGGCATCTTTTCAATAGCATCAACTTTAGCTTTATCAACTTCAATACCTCTTTCAAAAATTTTATGCCCCAAGACAATGCCTTCATTAACCATAAAGTGGCACTTTTCCCAGCTCAAGACAAGATTAGTTTCTTCACATCTCTGCAAAACTCGATCAAGGTTGCTCAAGCAATCATCGAAAGAGGATCCATAGATGGAGAAGTCGTCCATGAAAATCTCGCAAATCTTTTCAAAAAAATCAGAGAATATAGCCATCATGCATCTTTGAAAGGTAGCAGGTGCATTACATAAACCAAAATGCATACGTCTATAAGCAAAAGTAACAAAAGGGCAAGTAAAAGTGGTCTTAGCTTGATCATCAGCTGACATAGGTATTTGAGAGAAACCAGAATAACCATCTAGAAAGCAAAAATGTGTATGTTTGGATAATCTTTCTAGCATTTGATCAATAAAAGGTAAGGGGTAATGATATTTTTTAGTAGCTTTATTCAGTTTGTGGAAATCAATTACCATCCTATAACCTGTAATAATTCTTTGCGGAATCAATTCATCTTTATCATTGGGAATGGCAGTAATACCTCCCTTCTTAGGGACACAATGGACATGACTTACCCACTGACTATCAGCAACGGGATAGATTATACCTGCCTCAAGGAGCTTTAATATTTCCTTTCTTACCACTTCTTTCATTTTAGGATTCAGCCGTCGTTGATGATTAATAACTGGTTTGGCATCTTTCTCCAAATTTATTTTGTGTTGGCATAGAGTGGGACTAATGCCCTTAAGATCATCAAGAGTATATCCAATAGCAGCACAATGCTTCTTCAGAGTTTTCAATAATTTTTCTTCCTCCTTCTCTGATAGGTTAGCACTAATAATAACAGGGTATATCTTCTTTTCATCAAGATAAGCATATTTAAGAGTATCAGGCAATGGTTTAAGCTCAAACATGGGATCACCCTTGGGTGGAGGAGGATCCCCTAGGATTTCAACAGGCAAGTTGTGTTTTAGAATAGGTCCCTGTTTAAACAACACTTCATCTATTTCCCTTCTTTCATTCATAAACATATCATTTTCATGGTCTAGCAAATATTGTTCTAAAGGATCACTAGGAGGTATGGCAATAGAAGCAAGACCAATAATTTCATCTTTACTAGGTAAA